TTTATGAAATTAAAAAAAACCCTGTCCGGACAAGAACAGGATACATCATTCTAGAATCTATTCAATGCGTAATTGGGTGTAAATAAACAAAGAAAAATATATGGGATCTATATATAAATTGGGCTCGTCTTTGTGCCAAATAAAGTTTTATCCCTTTCCATTTACATAAAATCGGACCAAACTATATAGGGGAGACTGGGGCACCTTCGGCATCGGGGCACCTTCGGCAATCGCGTTTTCGATATGAAGCTCTCACCGTACATCACTAGTTTCGATACATAGGTATCGAATATCGAAATAAATAACTGACACAAAGTTTGAAATTTCTAGCTAATAAGCTTATTTAGGTACATGGGTTTTTGTATTTTTATAGATGTTTCTGTAATATTTCAATTCCATTTCGTAAGTATTTCGTGTATAAAACTTTTTAAATTTTTAAGACAATATTATTAAAAAGTGGTTAACTACGATGTGTATTATTATAGACATATTTAAAAATATAATGTTTTTACAAAACTGATCGAAAAAAAAAATGAAAAAACTATAAAAAGTACATTCGGGGTACATTCGGCATTTTAAAGTGGGGCACATTCGGCCATATACAGATTGTGCAATATTATTTCCTTAAAATGTTTTTGAGTTTGTCTTTAAAACTAATCCTTTACTGTGGTTCGAAATTGCATATATAAGATCAAACGTGCTTGTATTGACGAAAATGCGATAGAAATCCCCTATTTCTGATGGTGTGTGCGACCTTGAGATGTAAACGTCCGCAGCTAGAAAATAAAGTCATATAATTCAAACATTGTGTGACGTATTAAAACCAAATAGAGCCTTTAGATGATCAGAATTTCAACCAGACTGATAGCGATGATAATTACCCGGCTATGACTATGGTGCCGAATGTGCCTCATCAAATGCCGAAGCTACCCCGGGTTGGGGCACATTCGGCGAATTTGACTTTTTTTACAAAACTGTAAAATTTTTTAACTAATACAATTTTTTTATATCTTTTTGGTACTATTTTTTATAATTAAGTGTCAGAGGACAATAATCAGCCACAAAGTTGTTATATATGTTGAATAAGTACTGAGATATAGAGCTCTAAAAAAAGAGCCGAAGGTGCCCCAGTCTCCCCTATGTCTGAATCGATTTTCAGGAAACTTAGCACACGTCATTCTGGACTCAATTAAGTACGCTACGTTAAATTTCGTGTAAATCGAAAGATATATAGGAACTTTGGTGCACCTTTTTAATAAAATCGAAACTATATATGGGAGCTATATCTAAATCGGAACCATTTTCACGAAACTTACTACTCATCATTCTAGCCTCAATTCATTACGCTATGTCAAATTTCGTGGAAATCGAAGGATACAAAGGGACTTTGGTGCACTATTTACCTAAAATCGGACCAAAATATATATGGGAGATTTATCTAAATCTGAACCGATTTTTACGAAACTTAGCACACATCACTCTAGACTTAATTCCGTACGCTGTGCCAAATTTCGTGCAAATCGAAAGATATATAGGGACCGGACGAAAATATATATGGAAGCTATATCTAAATCTGAACCGATTTTCAAAAGGGTTCGTCCTTGGCCCAAATAAATGAGCTGTGCCAAATTTCATCCAATTCGAATCATAAATGCGACCTGTACGTTTTTAACAACATTCGGCATTGTTTAATTTTCTTTTGTTATTGTAAAAACAACAAAACAAACAAATGAAATTGTAGTAAAATAAACAATGTCGAATGAGGTTAAAAAGTTACAGAATACACCTACTGTACTTTGTTTACAATTTAACATGGACAGACAGGCGGACGGACATGCATAAATCGACTTAGAAAGTGATTCTATGCATATTCTCAAAAGGAACCATGTGTCTATCTCGTGTCCTTTTGCCTGTTACAAACATATGTACAAAGACATAATACCCTGTATCAGTGTGGTGAAGGATATAAACATGCTGGAAATTAGGAAAGACCTTCACCGCAATTATTCTAGTTCATACCATACATAGGTACGTGGATCCAGAATAACGTGTTAAAAATTGGAACCGATTGGATAAAATTTTGTCTTGAAAATTTAAAGTGACAAACTTGAGAATTTGTAGATTCAAATTAAACATTTTTTTAAATCGAGAATGAGAGGTATTGTTGACCTCCACCGCTCATTTTGCATATGAAAGCCACAAGTTCGATATACAACAACAAGAAATTTCTCCCAAATTTTGACAAGGTTTAATCATTCGATATGCCCTCAAATGCAAACATGCGTAGGACTAAAGCTTGTTCCTCAACATTATGTGTGTATGATGACTAAGATATGGTAACCCTTGCAATGTTTTGAAATAAACGATGTCTTCATATATAAAAAGAAAATAAATGTGGAAAAAAAAAATATATTATGAAACCTAAAATCAAATCAATATCAGTTCAATTCAAAAAATTCCCAGGTAGAAAGATGTTTAGTGTAGGAAATTTCCACACGTGATTAACAAAAAATCACATAAATTCTCAGGGAAACATTGAAAATAAAATTATGGGAAATCATACACAAAGAAATCCCCTGGGAATTGCTATTTGGCAATGGACTATGGGTGTAACAAAATAAATAAAATGAAAAAAATAAATAAATAAAAAATTGCCTTGTGTTTGTTTTTTTTTTTTAATCGGAATGAACATTGTTCCGATAGTTGATAGATTTTTTTTATTAATTTAAAGTTATAACCTTAATGCACTAATAACAAAAATTCAAATAAAATTTTAATGTTTTCATATATATGGTGTGTGTGGTGTTTTTAAGATATTTCATAATTATTAAATATAGTTGATTGTTATAGATTTTGTTTTTATTTTTTTAGTAGATTAGTTTCAAAATTTAATAATTGTTTTTGTTTTTTTACTAAAAGTGAAAAACAAAACAATAAAACTAATAAAAAAAGAAATAAAATAAAATATTTACAAGAAAAAAACAAATTCAAATGATTTTTTTCTTTACATTATTTGTGGTGTAATAATAAGTATGTATGTATGTGTGGTTGTTAGATTTTTTACTGCTGTGTTGTTGGTCATTATTATTTTTCTGGTCAAGGAATTTTGTTGTAACACGACGACGACGACAAAGCATGATTGGCACTGGGGCGACTACAAAATGTTATTGTTGCTGTTTTGGTTTTTTTTGGTTAATTTCTATGTTCGTTATATTTTGTTTTTAGTTCACAGGATGTTTTTTGTTTGTTATACGTATATTTAGTAGTGTGTGTTTCTAGTGTTAGTGTAATATTGTTTTTTTTTTCAATAATATTTTTTGTCGTATTTCTTTGTTTTTTTTTCATTTAGGATCATTTTTGTTTGTTTTCATATATATGTAATTCATTATTAATATTTGTATTGCTATAGCTAAAAAAAAACAAAAAATATATATAATTGTATTTTTCTTTAAATTAAAATAATAGGAAAAAATATATATAGATATTTATTAATAAAACAATATAGCTAAACAAGTAACTAAAAAGGGAGACCACCTAATTAAAAATAAAATAAGAAAAAAAATTGGCATGTAAGTTCATGTTGTTTGGGGGGGCAAAGCAGTACAGAGTTGGATGAATGATTTGTTTTATTAATTTTTTTAAGAAGAAATAGAAAACAAGGCAGATAAAAAATACAGGAATCTGTATTTTTGCTTGTCAAAATTTCATAGGGGCAAAGAAGGAACAAAATGCTTAAAGAATTTAAATTTGAAATTTTTGTTTCAAATTGTGATTAAAATTTTCTTACATTTTTTTCACAAATGTTTACATTTCGTACATATTTATATTTTTATCTTTATTTTTTAAACATTTTTTTATATAATTTGAATTTCATTTCTGTAACAGCTTATCTCCCCGCCACATTGAAACTTACAAATTCGGCCCAAAAGAGAAAACATCAAGATAATTGTGTAAAGACCCATTTTCTCTTTAGCAGAAAAAAAATTAAGAAAAAATATTTCAAATCCAGTTTGTTTTTTTTTTTTCTTCTCGGTCCCTGGTAGCTTTGCCATGGCTTTTATTAATATTTGATATATTTAAAAATTTATACAAGAGAAAAAAATGAAAAGAAATTAATTATAAAGTCACTTTTAAGCAAATATAATTTTTTTTAAAATATAATATTTTTGGGAGGTTTTTTGTTTGTTTCAGGTTTGGTTTTTTTGTTTAATAACACATCAATAATAGTTTGAAGTAAGAAAAAAAATAATTTTAATAAAAAAATATAATGAAAAAAAAATCAACAATTTTTAGTTTTTAATGATCTGGGTTTTGAGCATTTTAAAATTTTTGGGAGGGGAACAAGGTGTTTTGTTTCAAAAGAGAAAAAATATATATATTAACAATAAATAATAGTTATATAAACAAAAAAAGCAGATAAAGGAGGAAGGAAAAAATTACAAAAAAAATTATTAGTACATTGTGTTTCAATTTTGGGTCTGGGATGCCGAAAAAAGTATCGTTAATGCAAAAAATATATATTCTATTTTTTCTTCTTCTTCAAATGGACAAATATAATCCTACAATCTAATAAAGAAAATTATTCATTTATCAATATTTTTTTTGTGATTTTGAAATTTTTATAAATTTTTTTGGTAGGTTTTTTTGTTATAATTTCTTCATGTTTTTTTGTTTATTTTTTGCTTTTCTTGAAAATACCCAAAATAGAAATTATTTTTTTTTAATTTGAAGAACGAAAAAAATGTTTAAAAAATATTTTCTTTTTTTTAGAATATAAGCTAGGTGTTTCTTGTTTTTATATAGAAAATAGCACTTAATATATGTAAAGAGGAAAGAAAAAATAAAATTGTTTAATAAAAATTAAAAATTAATAATAATAAAAAATTATAGCAGACGTAAAAACAAATGAATTTTATTTATCCGCCGCTACAGACGCTGTCGTTGATTTTTTATTGGCTGGTTGTTGTTGCTGTTCCGAAGATGATGATGCTGATGCTGACACTGCTGAAGATTGTTGTTTGTTGGCAGCGGCATCCTTTTGCTGTTGCTGCTGTTGATTTTGCAATTGTTTTTGTTTCTGTTGTTGCTGCAATTGTTGTTGTTGCTGACGTTGATTACGATTTAGCCCCGAATTACTGCCACTACCACCACCACTGCGTCTCAATTCATTGGGTGAGCCATAGTGATAGTTGCGATTGGCAATTTGTGGTTTATTACCCAAAGAGCCACTGCGTACACGTACCGTGGTGCTACCAAAAGAACCAGTACGTCTACGATTATTACCACCTTGATTCTGGTATTGTTGTTGTTGCTGATGTTGTTGTTGCTGCTGCACACGATTGCCCACATAATCACTACGATTGGTAATTGTGGTATTGGGACGACGATTGCCACCGCCGGCCACAATAACTTTGGTGCCATCACTTTCCGATACACTACGATGTCTTTGGAAATTACGGCCACGATTTAGGCTGCCCACACCCTGTAACATTTCGTTGATTTCCGGTTCAACAACACGGAAATCTTCAATAGTCTTGAAACGTTTCAAATATTCTTTCAGTTGCGGTTGTACTTCCAATTTATCGGCATTTTTATAGTATTTCAAGAAAGCCCAGAATTTTTCGAGACCGTATAGTTGTCCTGTAAGAGAGAATGGAGAAGAAAACATTATTAATAACTCTCTTTGGATATTTCAAAGGAATTTCAAAACTGCAAAATTAAGAAAAATACAAAATATGCAATCTATTACTTAAGCCTATATACCCCTTTTCTTTCAATACCAAAAAGTCGTCAGGGTTTAAATTTTAAAGTATTGCATTTCTCGTATTCACTCTTTCTTTCCCCCTTTTTATATTTTTTGCATAACTTTTCCCCCTAAACTTACCAATTTCATAATCGGCAATTGTTTCCTCTTGGAAATCTTCATAGATATGTGGACGGAATTTCTTTTCCAAACCATAGGAATAGAAACGGAATAGACACTCCAGACCATAACGGAAACCATTACTGGCATCTTCCAAGGCCAATTGACGGAATTCATTGTACATTGTCTTATTGAAATTTTCACGCAAAAAGAATGACCAGAAACGATAGAGGGTATTCATTTCTTGTGACTGGCCATAGCCCAAACGACGTCTCTCCTTAAGGCAACGTGAATGATATTTATGATATGCTTGTTGGGTGAAATTATTCTCCTTGAGTAGGGCATGTGATGGATGCTGGAAGACGGGCAACGATTGAGGTACTGATGAACCATACGATGAGGTGGTGGGCGATGTGCCTGCCGACGATCCCATCGATGTGGTACGTGGCCTATGTTCTACGGTGTCGAGCAACCAACCAACGTGAGCTTCGACCGGTGGATTCGATGAATGGCGGGTCTTACGTTTACGTGGTGTACGCAAATCAAGTGAATGGTTGTTGGGTGCAGCATAGAAACGAGCTCTACGCGATTTAGTCGTGGAATTCAGTGTCGAGTTCAGTGTTGTATTCAGTGTCGAGTCTTCATCATCATAGGCGGGTGGAGGTGGTGGTGGCGGTTGTTGGTTACGCTGTGAACGACCAGACTGGCCGTGCATTTTTTCAAAATCTTCTTGGGATATCAAATTAACGGTACGATAATCCTTGGCCGTGTTTGAGGTAATCCACAAATCTTCTTCGTAATTGACCAGACCATCGTTAATGACATTCTCCAAGTCCTGAGTAATTTTTGTTCTGGAGGTGTAGTCGGCCGTACGATCGTAACCTTCGTGTTTGGGAGCCCGGTGTACTTGGGAGACAATCAGCAGTTTGTTAATATCGCGGTCGGCAAATTCGTAATCGGATTCATCATCGTCGGAGTAGTGTTCGGTGAAATTGTTGACGCGTCCAGAGGCAGGTATTGGATCCATTAGCTCTTCATCAAACTGGAAGTCTAGTTCTTCCTTCTCGACAGGCTGGTGACCACCGCTGGTGGCTGTTGTGGCGATTGCAGAGAATGCAGCTGTTTTGGAGGAGGCAGAGGAGGATTTGATGGTAGTGGTGGTGGTGGAGGAAGTGGATTTGGTGGTGGTGTTGTTGTTGACGGAGGAGGAGGAAGCATTTGATGATGTGACATTGGATGTTTTGTTGTTTTTGGGATTCAGGGAGGAGTTGGTAGGAGTGTTGGTCATGGTGGCGGATTGATTTGATGTGGATGCGGAAGAGGTGGTGTTGGCGAGTGGCAATTGTGATGATGACGATTGTGTCGAGTTGGTGGTAGCTGATTTAGTATCTTTATAAGCATTTGATTTTGAGCGTCTCTTTACCTCTTTCCACATGCCATCGGCAGCTTCGCCGGCACTCGTTGTTGAATCGGCACTCTCAGAGATAGCTGCAGCGGGTACTTTGCCTTCTGTGGCTGCTGCTTGTGTGGTCGTCGTCGTCTTCGTCTTCTTTTCCGGAGTCGATGTCGAGTTTGGTGCTTTCACAGCCGTCGTTACACTCTCAGCCAATCCACTCAAATGATCCGCCAACTGGGCCACCGCTCCACCCGTTGCCGTTTGCTGTTCGGCTGCCACGGCAGCTTCCACCTTTTTGGTGAGAGCACTGATGGCGTTCAATGCAGGGGCAGGTGTTTGTCTCTCTTGTTGCAACAAAATGGTGGGTAGCAGATTTTGCGAATTACGTGGCACCGGTGGTGGTGGTATACAACTCAGGGGCTTGGTAGCCATGGGTGAGGTTAAAATCGGTGGCAGAGGCACTTCGGGAACATAGATCATATTTGGTGAGGTATTGTTATTCGCAGCAGGAGTAGTTGTAGCCGTTGTTGTATCAGTGCTTGTCGATTCTTGAGCAGCAGGTGTATCATTAGCTTGACTTGTTACAATTTCTTGAGTAGGGGTAGTGGTGTTTGTGGTGGTAGTGGTAGCAGCAGCAGTAGTAGTGGTGGTGGCAGCAGTGGTGGACGCTTCAGGCGTACTGCCGGCAGCACCACTTGCGGCAGCTGCAGTTGCGGCCACTTTAACCGGGTTACTAACTGTATCCACAGCTTCCTTAATGGGCCATATGGTGGGGTTTGTCTTTGTGCGCACCTTATAGCCTTCCAAAAGTTCAATTTTATCGGATTCCTTGATGGCTGTAATGATTAGAGCCACATCTGTGGTTAGAGCTAGAACCCGATGGAACGAAGCGATTAGAGTGACAGGGATGCAACCTTCGTCATCCATTTTGCGGCGCAAAAAGAAATCGCCAGTAAGGTTTTCTTCGCTAAAATAATATTCACTGGAAAAACAAAGAAGAGGAAAAAAACGTTATAATGCTATTTACGACTTTTTCAAACACACACAGAACGCCATAGGGGAGAGACAAAAAACACTTATCTCAATACACACAATTTTCAATACTTACACTTGTTTTTTAATAGCTTCTTTGACGCTTTGTGCATCCATTTCAATATATGCAGCAGGCATGGGACCATAATAATGGGTACCCATAAGAACAAATGAGGGATCTGCACCGGCGGCATCCGCCGGTAGATAATTTGCGTACTCGCCATTGGCTAACAGATGGCGTGGTATGCGATTTGCCGTACGACCTGGTCCCGATCTTGAGAATCCGCCACCGCCGCGCCCCTGACGCCCGCCCCGGTAGGACGTGCGGTACCGCCGTTGGCTGCGGGCTGGACGTTGTTCGTACTCGCCGTCACGTTCATGCCGATTGGTGCCGCTGCCGCTACGCCAGGAATCAATGCGTTCACCCACATTGCCAGATTTTGTTTTGTTGCCGACAGCATTGTTGTTGTGTTGGCGTTCACCGCGCTGACTCTCGCCGCCGCCATTGTTGTTGGCTGAGCGTCTTTCATTGTTAGAGTCGTGGTGGCCAGCATTTTGGCCGGATGAGCGATTGTTGGCACGATCTTGGTATCGCGGCTGGGAATTGATACCTCTGCGGGTGGGACGACCACCAATTGATTTGGAACGACTAGATTTGGCCAAATCGATTTGAAGAGGTCGCCATTTTTGTTTGGGTATTTTCTTATTGATGCCGACGCCGCCGCTGCCATTGGCAGTATTTGTGTTGGCATTATTTCCATTTCCGGCATTGCTGGAAGATGCTTCATTGTTAGCGGTTGCCGCTGAAGTTTTTGGATCTTGATTTTCTTTGGCAGCACTAGAGCTAGTGCTGGATGCTGAAGATGATGTTTGGGCGACAACGACTTTATCGTTAGTGTTGTTGCTGCTGTTCGATGATGCTGTTTGCTGCTGTTGTTGGCTATCCACTAAAGTTTGGCCTTCGGTAGGTTTTACCGTGGCAGCGTTAGTATCTTCCTTTTGAGCGTTGGAACGTTGTTTTCTGTTTGAACGTTTTGTTTCGGTACCGGCTGGTTTACCACCAATTAACATTGGCCAATCACCAACGTTACTAAAATCACTAGCCTATAAAGCGGAGAAGAAAGATAAGAGGGGGTTAGAATTGGAAATTAAATTATTTTGTGTTTTTTTTTTATAAATTACTTACTTTTTGATTAACCTTCTTTTTGTCCTTTACCACGGCAGCATTCGCATCACTTTTTGAGACGACTGTAAGGAAAAGAAAGGAAAAAAAAAATAAAATGAATATAGGTTTTATTTTATAAAAATAACGAAAAAAAGAAAGAAACTAAAGGTATAGTCGAACTGTGCAAAATAAATTTGGAACCTATTTGGTAAAACTAGAGATGTTTGGGGACACGGGGATTCAGGTTGAACCTAGAAGGTTCCAACTGAATTTTATTAAAAATTATAAAGAAGGTAAGAAGCTATATGGCCGGTTCCTTTTTGTTTTTCGAAAAACATTTGTCAAATCTAAAAATCTAAGTAACCTGAGTACCTTCTCGAGCTGTTTTAGTCATGTAAATGTAGAATAATGAACTATATTTTTAATTTAAATTCTACAAATAAAGAAGAAATCTATATTACAACAAAATCAGGCGAGGTTATCAAAAGTGTCAATTTATTTTTAAAACTTAGACGGGGATTATAAAAAAAATTACAATTCTAGTCATAACTGGACTTTTTTTTTGTATTTCAAAGCAAAAGAAAAACTTATTCCAGGCCAAATAAGTTCACATATTGTAATCTTGACGAGTCACATGTCTAATAAAAAGATTACATTTTTTACATAAGGTGTAATCTTACCCCACCCCTTACGAATTCTACTACTACGCTCTATACAAAATTTAACTGCGGCTCCGTGGCTACAAAACTACAAAGTTGTTGATATAGAAAAAAATAAAATACGAAAGCTTATCACTATTTGTATCTTTCAAGTATATGTATCAACACGAATAGTAGTATTTGTATTTGAATAACTAAAAGTATAAAACAGAAGACGAAGAAGAGAAGTGAAAGAAGAAGTAGAAGCGGCAAAAGATCATGCCATTTTATTTTTTTTCGTTTTAATTATCACAGAATAAACAGAAAGCAAAAAAACTTGGTATTGTTGTTTATTTATAGCGCAGCAGAATACCCCATAACACACTTCTACATAGTCAATGATGTTGTTTATGCATACAAATATATGTATATATATATATTTTAATATGTTTCAGACATGCGGCTTTTTGTGTTGATTTTTCAAAACAACGAAAACATTTATGGGAACACAATACTGGATACAATGGGTGTCAAAAGTGAGGATATAAAATGTAGATATTATTAAATGCAAGGCAGGGGAGGTAGGTGGTCACACGAGTACTTATGGTCCCATTATTGTAACCTATTTTTAGGAGGTCCGGCAAAAAATTTGTTCAATTTCGTCAGATCATTACCGAAAGATATTTGTAATTCGGCATTCCGTCCTCTTTGTGGGCGAGAAACATTTTTTACCTGTTTTGATTTAATAATCAACATTAAACATATTTTTGAATTTTTGTCCAATACCTAACCAAGAAGTAATAGAAATTCCTTCCTTACAGGGTCTTCATATTAAGGTGCTGGCCATTTTTAAAGCATTTTGAATGCACAACAAATAATGGAAGATATAAATAGTTTGGCGCGGTCTAATATAAAGATTTTTTTACATGTTTTCATTTAATACTCAACATTGAAAATATTTTTGAATTTATTTTCCAGTACCTAACCAACAAGTAATAGGAATTCCTGCTGGTCTTTTGATGCAAACAAATTTCTTTTGAAGTATTTAAATAATTTCAGTCCTTATGAACTGCAAAAAATTAATATTATTGGAATTTCAGAAATTATCCGGCAATGTTTATAATCCTAATAAATAATATTGGAATTTCAGAAATTATCCGACAATGTTAATAGATCCAATAAATAATATGAGTGAAAGAAAAATTGGATATCTATTGTATTGTGTTATTAAAAACAAAACACCTTGCTGTATATAATTTTAATCAAACTACGCAGTTGGAATATCTTTCACACATACACAATGAAATTGAATATTGCTGGAAGGAATGTGCCGAAGTAATAAAAATTGATACAAAGTTCTTTTATGACAGGGAATTAAAAACAAAACAAACAAAAAATTATATACAACTGCAAATTATTGAAAATAATAATGGCATGGCAGACAAAACAAAAAAAATCTGTGTGTTTTTGGTTTCTATTCTGAAAGACAAGCAACCTTGGTTCCTTACTTCTCCTATATACTTCCTCCACAAGAATCCACTAACCTAACTGTTAGTGATATTCACATACCGAAACAATAATATATAAAGATATAGAGTCATACAAGCCTATATAAGAAACTTCCATGGTTGGAGAAACCTAATGTTATGAGGAGGTTCGTTATATCCCCTAGTTTGTTGGATGTTCTACCACCAAAATTGTTAGGAGGAGTAAAACGAAATTTTATGAGGTTCGTTCCTTATATTCGCTAGTTTGCTGTTATAGCAAAATTTCTGAGTCCCAATTTAGATTAAGCGAGTTTACTTGCGGCATGTCTTTGTTTGCAGGAGAGAGGGGCAAGTGTAATAGATTAAAAAAAATGCTCGTACCGGCAAATTTCTGGCAATTCGTTTCGTGTATTTTGTTTGCAGTGTCAATAATTTGAAATACCAATCCTGAACATTGTCACTAAATGTAAAAAAAAAATATTTTTGAAACCGTGTTTTTCCGATTTTGCCATCATCTTCTAAATACCTCACAAGCCACTAACCAAATTTTTAATAATATTCACAAAAAAATCTCTCAAGATTTACAGTCACACATGGCTAAATAAGAAACTCTATTGGTTGGAGGAAACCCAAAATTATAATGCGGTTCGTTATATCCGCTAGTTTTGTTGGTTGTTGTTATACCCAAAATTTTGTTAGCCGTTCAACTTTGCCTTTTTTGAAAAATAAAAAATAATATTATTTTTTTATTAATGTTTTGTTTTTTTTTACTTACCTACAGTTGTGGACTCAACAACTTTAGTGGTTTGGGTCTTATTTGGATTCTGTGCGTTTGTGTTGGAGCTGCTATTATTGGTAGTTGAAGTAGTGGTTGTGGTATTATCGCTTGTTGCCGGTTGTTGTTTTTCGTTTTGATTCTGTGCTTGCTGTTGTTGCTTTTGCTGTTTAGGCTGTTTGGGTTGCAAGACACGTTTATCCAATGGCGAAGAACTTGTTTTGGGACTTGAAGCTTGTTGTTTTGATATCTAAAATAGAAGAAGAAGCATTCAAAATAACATTAGTATTTTTTTCAATTATTATGGAAAATAAAATGTATAAATATAGAAGAAGATAAAATAATAAATATGAAAAAATGCATAGAACCCATATAGGGTTGTATAACTAATATGCATATAATAAGAGGGAGGAATATGTCAATAACACACACACACCAGAAGTCAGGAAATTGAATTTACATTTTCAAAACAAAAAATGCTCAATTCAATGTGATGTACAATTGAAAATAATTTCATAGTATTATTATTATTTTTTTAAGTAACAAAAACAATTCTTCGATGTGGATCTTTAGATATACAGGCTGGTTTTTGTGGTGCCCCAAAAGGCCCATGATAGTATTAATTGTAATTATTATATTAAATATCGCATTGAAAGACCATAACATAAAAGGACTATTCTTTTGAAAGGAACAAAGGTGTTCCAAAATATTTTCCGATGAGGATTTTCAGTTATGATTTAGTTTTCATGGCTGTCCGTATACAGTTTTTGAAAAAAACATTACGCAATTGTGTTGAAAAATCGTATGTCTTGTTGGAAAATGTAATTAACCAGATGTATGCAGTAATTGGTATGTTCAATGCCGTATTAAAAACCCATAACCATAAAAGGATAATTATTTTTAAAGGAACAATAGTATTTCAAAATATTTTCCAAAGAGGATCTCCAGTTATAATTCGCTGTCCATGATGGGCTCATTCTAATTATACTCAATACCGTATTGAAAACGCCTATTACACCCTTCGTAATCGTATGTCTTTTGGGAAATTGTAATTAAACTGATGTATGCTTCTCTATTATTATTTTTTGGATTTAGGGTTAATAGAAGTTTTTCTTTCTCTTGGACGAACTCTTGGCCATTTCTTTATTTTTTGGCCATTAACTTAACGACTAATTTCCCTAATAACCAAAATACAATTTTGAAATAGTTCGTTAATAGTTGATGGTATTCTGTCACACAACAATGTATAAAATTTCTTCAGCATTATTGCTGACACAGACGTTTTACCATAACCATAGGAATGGTTTGCGCCGGTGTTAAAGTTGATGCAAAACATTTTGTGTGTGATGAAATTTTCTTTCTTTATGGGAAATACCATAATATGGACATGGAATGGAATGCGTCATGGCAAAAAGTGTGTTCGCATGTCATTTGGCTCCTACGAACTCACCCTCTAGGGGTTGGCTTGCTCTTTTGGATGACTAAGTTTAGTATCCTTTTTCTTTTTTGGTTAAAGTACCACCCAGCAATGCAGTATTTTATTTTTGGCCAATGAAAAAATCATTGGAAATATGATGGGTGACCTTCAAAGAGAGTAGACTACGGGAGAAGAGAGTAAAACATAGAAATTGTTATGGTAAAATTTATCATAACAAAGGAGCAGAAGTTCTTTGGAAGAGAGTGAGCAGTTGTGGTTTATTGTGGTAGGAGAGAACGAGACAAAAGCATACACATGTGTATCCTTGGAAGGATATTTTTGTTATGGTTTTTTAGGACATGGGTTTTAAACGTTTTTAGTAAAGGTTTTGTGAAAATAAGAAATGCCTGAATTTTAGAAAAAAAATCCACTAAAAAATATTTTTGTCAGAAGATTTTCGAATTATTTATATTTTTCAGACATTATATTAATTTTTTTTTTTTAATTTAAAAAGGTTTGCAAAAATATATTTTTTCTCCTTTTTGGAAAATATTAAAAAAAAATCAACATGTTAGGGATAATTTTAAAAAGTGTAAAAGAGAACATTTTGATTGTTTTAATAAAAATTTATTATGGGCCTCATAAGGAGGGTCTTTTTCACCCAAATAGAAAAAAATATCTACACCATCCTCATGTTCTCATCAAATGTCTCGTGGGGCATTATGACGAAGAATGAGGAAAAAAATTAAAAAAAAAACAGAAACGTTGACATAACCAAAACCTACGAATAATAGGAAAAGTAAATATCTATGTCAAAATGAAACCCCTTAACATACGTAACATGCATGACCCCCCCATATGACATGTAAGAGGCATGTGAGTGGGTGAATAACATTTTTCTATGCCACACTACTAATTAGAGATAATTAGTATGGGGGTTTTCACAATGAAAATTTTAAGGAAAAAGAATAAAAATGGTGGTTCGCATGGGTTTGGAGACACATATACAAATGAAGGCATCATTGATCCATCAAATTAAACCGCCTATGGGGGTCGTTTTGAATTTTTTTACGAGACCTCCAAAGTGTTTAGTTTTTCGGATTAATTTACCACTTTTGGTTTCGGAATAGATTAAGAAGGTCTACAAAGTGATAACCTTAAAAAAGGAGGTTAAGAAATGGGTAAAATTTGGTTCACAAATACATCATTGAACCATCAAATGAAAAGATTTTTTCGATGTTGTTGTAAGGTGTAATAATTAGCCACTTTTGTATTGGTTTCGATAATTGTAAAACATCATTAGATTAAAAACCTTAGAGAAGGAGGGTAAAGAAAATTTGAAAAAATAATTACAGAAGGGCTCTCGTATCGCTCTTCTGCAAAGAGGAATTACCTCAGAGAAGGTGGGTAAAGAAAATTTGAAGAAAAAATTACAGAAGGGCTTCACTCTTCTGCGAAGGGGAATTACCCATTTACCCATTATCGAATCAAACGGTATCAATCTATGCGGTCGGTTTTGTTGGCATCGGCCACAGCATTTATTGAAATTAATTGAATGGCATTACGAGGCTGTTAAGCTCTCTTTTTGGACATGTTTCCGTATTAAATATGTCTTTGGCCTTAAGTAGAAGCAGAAAGCAATATTCAGAGATCCCTGAATGTTTGAACTCCTGGGCAGAAAATTTCTTGATAAAGTCTTAGTATTTTTGCTGCCTCTCAACTTTGAATTTATAAAAAAACAAGTTCTTAAAAATGGTTTTTTATAGTTTGAAGGACCTATTTTATAAATTGAGGGACTTCTAAAAGGCATTGTAGGTATAGAAGAAATTCTAAAGGTGTTTTTAATAGGAAGAAATGCCTTCAGATGTTACAAGATATTCTATGGACTGAAAAAAATGTATTCTAGATGCCATTGTCTGATGTTCTTGGAAGAATACACATTCATTGAGTAAAAATTTAAACATAGAAAACCGGCTTAACATAGATAATGTAAAAAACTTGGGAGCCTAAATGGACCAATTTCAATGATATTAGTTCATATTTCTTCATATTTCTCGATGTACGGGTTTCCAAAGTTCCAAGTATACCCGAAGACTGGATATTTAGACATAAATGGTAAATAGCAAGTACTTTTGCTTTTGTATCCCATTTAAGACCTGCACATAGGAGTATGTCTTAAAAACTCTACAAAATTTCCAAAAGACCATAGGAGGTCTCACACCAAAAAATAAAATTGGAATCGGAAAGGGTGTCAGAGGTAAAAACAGACATCTTGATACCGTGGGAATTTTTCAATTCACACATGTCCTTAAGATGACTTTTATACCATAGAAAGTTCTCCGATGTGATTTGTCTGTATTCATGAATCAATTAAAATTTCTATTACAATCGATGTTATCTGCCAGAACTGGGGAGGCATGAGAAACCATTGACTTCTATAATATCTTTCTAGAAAGCCTTTATGACAACTTCGGACTTTTGAAAGTTTTGATTCAGCGAAGTTCATATCATGAATAAAAAAATACTGAATTTAAATATGAGTACTGTATAGATTTGATTTGGGACTTGAAGGAATAAAAAACATGTCCGGTATCTTGCATTTACGCCATTACGAAGGTATTGTCATTGTATTAACCAAAAATATGGTCCCCTTTGTGTGAATTTTCAGTATCTATGAGCCAAGTAAAATTTTCCATTACGATGGATGTTTTCTGCCCGAGGAGGTAGGCGACAGCCTGACAACCCATTGAAGTGTTTTTTGTTTCTCTCATATAGATTTTTGTATAATGTATATATCGTATATAATAATATTCCATTTGTCTTCCAGAAACATAATTTTTTTTTGATATTAAGTTTTCCCACCTCAATGTCCTTATAAATAAAATTGAAATGGATTATTTAAGAATATTTTATAAAAAAAAAAGATTTTTATTTTGTCATACCTCCTTGTTTTGAAGCTAATAAATCATCAACTGGATGAACTGTATGGATGGTGGCTCTTTTTCTTTATACGATGACAGAGTCCAACAAATAGATTGGCGAATTTTCTTTTTATCACACACAACAAAATTATAAAGTTCCAAAATAAAATTTCGATAATTCAAATTAAAATTTAAAATAACCCAAAATAATTCAAAACCAAAAAAGTTTTTAGGTTTGTCTCTTCCATTGGCTGGGTTGGATGATGTTTTTCGGGTTTTGCTTATAGCTGGATTTTCTTATAGAACAATAACACATTGAGGTTGTTTTGCTGTTGTTGTGGTAGTGTGATGATTTCACTTTTCCTCTATATTATATTATTTTTTTCGTTTTACACTAAATTGTGTCCAAAAAACATTGTCTTATCTTCACTTTATGAAATTTTCGATTATTTTGATTGTAACAAATATTTGTTTTATTAATCTTATCATTTAATAATGTAGCGATGATAATAATGTTTTTATTTTTCATTTAAAGAAAAACACTTGGTTTTGGAAGTTGTTGAAAGAATATAAATTTATACTCTGTTATTTTTTTCGATTAAGAAATTATAAATGAAAACGACCTCAAGTCGTTTTTTATAACACAAAAAAGAAATCACTCAATGTCGTTTCTTTATTTTTTTTGGTAAAAAGGCGACCTATTTTCTTCGGTTTTTTTTTCAAGATTTAAGATATTTGTTTGGTTGTATATATATTCACTTTTAATTCTCTATATTAAGTATAGAATACAAAATTTTTTTCTTTCTGTAAGATATTTTACGCGTTGTATTGTTTAAAGCGAGCGTCTTGTACGACCGTTCAAGATGTTCTGATTGATTTTGCTTGGGCGCAGTGTCTGAATATGATTTTTTA